ATCTAGGACATCAAAGGGTTTTAAAATGACTCCATTCATTTCCCTTTGGGTATTACGTCGGGAAATAATGCCTCAATTTGGCTCCATTTTCTAAAATTCATTTTTATTTATACATTGAACCTAATTTTCAACTTTTATTAACTTTTCAACTTCATATTTTATCCTTTTTGTTTAATCAAAATTTAGCCCCATTTTATTGAAAACTCATTTTAAATTACATATTCTCTCTAATAAAATAATTTTACGCGTAAATTGAAATTTATTTTCTTATTTTTTAATTACACATTATTTAAAAAATTTCAAAATAAATTTTTGTCCAAAATGGGGCTCAAACAAATGCTAAAAATCTTGTATAAAGTGTATATACAAATTTGGTTGGCAAAATCCAGACTATTGATTTTTAATAAATTACGCTTCCATGGCTAAGACTTAAAAATAAGCCCCGTTTGGCCCCCCATTAATTTTGATTATAATGGGAGAATAATATTTTTTTTGAAAAATGAATGGTTGTGAAAAAATAAATTTTTTATTTATTTATGTGTAATATTATTTTATTGAAAATTGTGTTATTGAAAATAAGAGAGAAAAATTTAATTTACCCCTTGTTTGGTTCCCATTCTTTTAAAAATTCATTTAGCCCTTGTTTGACCCCATTTTGGGGTATAGAATGATTTTTTGAATAGTGTATTGATGTGAAATGTGTAGTTAAAAAATAATGAAAAATTTTAAATATGTGTGTAATATTATTTTATTGAAAAATGTGTGGTTGAAATGATGTCAAAATACTGTTGAAAAAAACATTTTTACCAAAGAATGGGGATTAAACAAGGGCTTATTCAAAATTCATTTTTAACTGCACATTCTTCAATAAAATAATATTACATGCAATTCAAAATCTTTCCTTAATTTTTAACTACACATTCTCATCAATTTATTATTCAAAATGCACTATTTTTCCAAAATGGGGATCAAACAAGGGTTTAATTTGATGCGATTTATTTGGGGGGTGGGCGGGGGGAGGGCTAAGAGCTTATTTGGTACATATTTTAAATCAATTAAAATCAATTTTTTGATCGTTATTTTGTTATTTCAGCAGTCTTTTTTGAATTCTTTTTTCACAGATAGGATACAATTTATCTCTAACGATTAAAAAATTAATTATCAAAATTTCTACTAAACAGACAAACAAAATAGAATGATGGAAAAGATTTGGCCCTCGTTTGACCCTCATTATCTGAAAATGAAAATGGGGGGAATAATATTTTTTAAAAAAATGAGTGGTTGAAAAAAAGGAAAAATTTTCGATTTACGTGTAATATTATTTTATGAAAAATTGTGTGGTTTAAAATAGGAGAGAAAAAAATGGAATGTAATGTAATTGAATTTAACGTGGATGACTTGATCACGTGCAAACTCCAATTGATTTGAATTCGGACCTGTGCGCCTTTTCTCCAATAATAATTACATTTTCTGCCCTTCTCTATCATCTCTCTTTGGATTCCATACACAAATCCCCGAGGCGCCCTCAATATTTAAATCCTCATTCAATCACTACATTCGGAATCTCTCTTTCCAGTATCAGCTCAAAA